AGAAGTGTTACTGATGTTGCACTGTTGTGACACTGTTACATGCTGGTTGGTGAGCGAGCACAGGTGCACGCTCTGTGGTTGTGATTACGTGGGTTTGAATCCAGTTTTTAGTCATGTCAGCCCTTTCATCTATTTATCCACAGTGTTGTGCAAGTTCACACTTCACAAGAGCTCGCTCAAAGTTCAGTTCACACGCATTCAAATGAACTCGCTCATGTTCGTAGTTCACAATGTTGAATTTGGAACTAGAAAATGAACAGTTCACAGTTGTTTCTTCCATTATTTATGTGTTTTAAAAAATGCTGATACTCGGCTTGTGGTCCTACCCTTTGTTACTGATTTCTTGTGATCATCATTCACTTAAAGGTTCAGTGTGTAACATTTAGGAGGATCTATTGTCAGAAATGGAATATAATATTCATAGGTATGTTTTCATTAGTGTATACTCACCTGAAAATAAGAACGAGCCGTTGTTATCTACAGACGCTGCAAGTTGCCTTCCACAGAGTCCGCCATGTTTTGACCAACCAAACACTGGCTGTAGATAGGGCCTTGCGCCCTATCTAAGTGTCGTGTCCACCACAGTTGCAATTTACAACTTCACTTCTAGATGCCACTAAATCCTACACACTGGTCCTTTAATGAGCCGGCTTTCCATTATTTTGTTTTCTCTTGAATATCACGACAAATTTCATTCTTGACCATCAAAACTGCACTTTGACAAAGTAACCTTAACTAAATTTCCAGTTTGCTACTAGCTTTTCTGAAGCTTTTCAACTGCCTCTTAGGATCTTCATCAGCAAACGGGAGTTGGCTCATGGGGTTAGAGTTGTCATGGAGTCTCTCCAACTGTTCACTGACGTCATTGACCAGGAGCAAGTGGACAACCGGAGAAAGATCATGGAGGCCATTCACATTCACAACATCTAAACCCATCCTTGAACAGAAACAGGGATCATGGTTAAAAGCTCTGGAAATAGCTTGTAAATGGGCTTAAGTTAAAATGCTGTATTTTTGTAAAATTATACTGAATACTGAATTAAAATTACCATTTCTATGTATACAGTTTGGTCAACTTTAGGCAACTAAATTGCTTGAACAGTGTTAAAGGAAGATTGTGGTCAAGGTGGTCCACTTCTTGTATGCCTAGCCATCCACCCTCACCTCCATGCTTTTGATGTGGCACAGAAGCCAAGTCAAACACGAACATAGGTTTTAAAGTTTAGATTGCATTTCTAAGTGGCTTTTAGGTTTGCTTAAAAGCTAAAATATCCTCAACATTTCGGCGTTGGGTTGCATCATCGTAATAGTTTCATGTGGGTTACTTGTCTTTGATAGAGATAGAGCTCAACGATAAGAACTCGATGGCTGCCTGAATCCATTTTTTTCCCATTTATCATATTTGATCACCCGGTTGCACATGCAGTTCGCTCCACAGGTGCACCAGCTGTTTGCCAAGGCATTTTTGAACCAGTCAAGCCTGTTGCAGTGCGTCTCTGTCTGATTGGCCCCTCAGAATGTAGTTTGATTGCAAGTATATGTTATAAATCAGGTGCCAGGAATACTTAAATTCTTTGAGCTCCTCTTATTGCGGTCCTATACCCTAGATTAGTATGTGGCAGGAGTCCATTCAAACTCACACAGAGCCAAGCTGTATTTCTTCCATTACGTGATGTCATAATTTTTGAATGACTAGTGAGTTGTGGTAGTTTCACGAGAAAACATTTTACAATCTATTCATTACATGCTGCTCCAAACAGACAAGACATGAATTGTGATTTGTAGAAAATAGTTTTCTGAAGTAATACTAAGACAGGTACTGTAAGCTCTCCCATTACTAAATTTGGTAAAAAAAAAAAAAAAGAATGTGCTATTACTAAGGTTCAGTATAAGAAGACAGGAAAACAATGGTTATTAAAGAAGAAGACAGCCAACAATGAAAAAAACAGAAGACATTGATGCTGAAGGAGGTGGAAATTGGTCCCCTCCCCAATCCAATCGAACCCCCCTTTTTCTCCAGGAAGCCAAATCCAGGCCATGTCTAAGATTTCACAACGATTAGCGAGGGAGGGATGAGGAGGGATATAGAGATGTACTAGAGCAGCATTAGCCATTAATCACCATGGAGGGAGGGGGAGAGAGAGACGGAGAGAGGGAGTGATAAAGAGAGAGGACTGTCCTAGCATGGCTCAGCATGGGACTTGTACTTTTGCTGTCTGGACCTCCAGGGGTCTCGTGTTTGACTGCGGAACAGTGGCTCAGTGGCAGTAGAGGAGTTCTCTAATCCTGGGCCATTGGAAGGGGAACATATATGACATAACAATGCATTGTATCAATTTATGATCAAATTCTAACACATTTCTGTGGGTATGGTGTATTTTGCAGTGGAATTGCATTTAATCATGTTTATAATTGAACAGAATGTAAAGTTTACATTGCTCAGTATTTTGTCTGTAATGACAGCTGGCGTTTAAGTTTCTAATCTGGATAGATGACAATACTGGATACTGCTACTCTAAATCTACAGTATTTCTTTTTTTGTTCCTCATCAACATGCAACTCAACTGTGTACATCTTGGTTTTTTCTAAAGCTTTATTGACTTTCAAAAAGAGCCAAACTGATCCAAATCTCTGACTCCAAATTCGAGTTTAAGTGTTAGGCTCTCGGCTCTTTGACACATTTACTGTCACCTGTCAAAGTGACTGTTCCCATAGTAGCAACCATTTTGTCAACTTGCAGGAGGTTCAATGTCAACCCAAATTTACATAAAGTGTTGACTTGGTGTCCTCCTGAAATTAAAATGAGAAGTCTGGGAAAAGTGTTGTCCTAATGACCACTCTCCAAAGACTTGATAAATCATCTTGAACTATTTTACAAACTTCTAATTATTTTTCACAAGTTATACAACCTAAAAGACAAAATAAGTTGTTTGTCATTACGTTATATAACAATTCGTACTGGTCTCACTTTTCACCAGGGCTTCCAAACCTGTTACAAAACAGATTCATATGACAATCTTCTGATCTGCCGTGACTACAGTTAAGGTTTGGTTGGGCATAAAAATGACTTGGCTAGGGTTAGGAAAAGAACATGGTCATGAAAGCAATACAAAATGGTACTGCAGTCTCCTGGGTCAAAGTCACATGCTTGGTTGACAAAACCATTTACCCGACCTCCTTCCAAAAAGGTTTTGTGGTGTAAAGTCCCACTACTTACACTTTCTTACTTCTGGCAATTTACGCTATAAAAGTCACCTCAGCACTTATTTCCTGCCGCAATCCAAAGTCCAATGGAAAAATCCCATTGGCTTTTTGTCGAAGGAACCAGGGCAAAGCTAACTTTCGGGTTTGCCTACGGTAATACAGTAACCTATGGGGGAGACTGTAACCACTTACTGTTGGTCACATGATAACAACTAAACCATCTCTGTGACAACTGAGCAACTCCATCCACCGAGAAAGGCCATGAAATTGTGTCTGAAAGCTTAAGAAATACAACATCAGCAGACTTTGTGATGATTTCTAGCTAAACTGCTGTTTAAGAGGTTAAGAATGGGATATAGGTTGTTTCAAGTGAACACAGAACAATGCTGCTGTTTTTCTGTTACGTGGAAAACACATTATATAATCAGCTTTGAATGTTGTTGTAATGGATATCAAAACAGTGCAGGGTAGTGTAGTGAGAGAGGACTACACAGGTTTTAAACGCTTGTACAGGTTGTCGTATCAACATCTCTTCAACATCTAAATGTTAGCCCGGCTACTGTACTGCTTTCCTATACACTAATCTTTCGTAAAAGGAAAGAGGTTATGCTGGACATCAGTTTCCATGTGTAGTGTGATTATTACTACCAGCCTTGTCATATTCCACTGTGAAGCAGAAATAAAAGGTGTAGTCAAACCCCCCCCCACTCATCGCTGTGGTGGGAGGCAAGGTGAAACAGGGTGACCATAAAATCAGAATGGCCGTCACTTAGTGTTCCCTGCATCCCCTTTTCTGTCCCCCAACCCCCACCACTCCTCCTCCCGCTCCCTACACCCATTCCTCTCTTCTTATTTTTTTTATTTTTTTATTTTTTTTCTGTACTATGAATAAATTTAGTCTGTCCCGGACATGAAAATGTCAAATACCTAAAATACACCTAGGCTAAATAGCATATTAATTTTTAATGCCTGCTCATCCTATGCTGCTATTCTCATATCAGGCCTGTCTGCCAACAGCTGTTGCTGGCTCTCTGGCTGGGAATTTATCGTCCATCTAGCTAAAGGAGGGGAGAGAGGGAGAGAATAAAAAAAGAGATGGGAGACATTGTTCAGAAGACAAGGAAAAGGGGAGGGACAGATCTGTGTTTTCATGGATCCCTACCTTGCATTTATATCACCTACACCTCACAACTTTCTTACTTTGATATACGAGTGGGATTCAATTACACTAATGCCAAACATAAATTGTTCAAGATTCCTTCCTTTTTTCCCCCCTCCGCCGTGTGTTATAGCACAAGCCTCCTCATACATAAAAGAGAAATAAGGAGCAGAGTGGTGACATTGACGCTGGAGGTAGTGACATTGGGGAGAGCGGCAGAGGGAGACGAGATGCACTGAAGCAATGTGCCAGTGTGGGTGTTGAATGCCACCCATGTGCGTTTTTAGGTGGCATGTGGTGGATGATTATCATAGATTATCACAATCCAGATTGTTACAAGTTCTGTCTGCGCACATAGCAGCAGTGTACTGTAGCTGTGTGACTGTCTCTGTGTGCGTGTGTGTGTGTGTTTTGGTTTAAGACAGAGTGCCTTTGGGGATAAGACTAAATGGTGAGTGAATGACGAACAGTTGGAGTGTGTGAGTGTACGTGTGCGTTTATTCGTGTGTATGTGTCTTGTTCTTTTATCATTACAGTGTGAGAGGAAAATATCATACAGGGTTTGGAAAGATGGGAAAATCTTCAAGATGAGGGACATTTTGCCACAGGCTAAGGTGTGAATCGTGTGTGAGCTTACCTTAACACTCCAACTGCATACTGGAGTGCAACCTGTCTGTTAGGATCAAGTGGCCTCTCACTGTCACTCCTGACTGACTGCTGCTTGCTGGAATGGCCACCTAGAGAGAGAAACAGAGGAGGGGAAAGATTAGAAGAGGAGGTGATAATGAAATATAGACCTGGAGAGGCAGAGAGGAAGACGGACAGGGGATACAGCATGAAGAAGAAGACAGTGATGGGTGGAAAGGAAGACAAAGATGAGGTGGGAGGGGAGGAGGGGGGGGTCGATGTCAAGATGAAAATCTAACAAATTCAGCGTGCGACGCAGCAGAGGTCAAGGGAACGCAGCCGAAAAAGGTTAAAGATGAAATCAAAGCCAGCGCGCTGCGGTGCCCGGAGGCACAGCTGAAAATCTATCCCTCCAGGGCAAGGCCACCGCTGACGCGAGGCAGACAAGAAGCTAAATACTGCACGCCACTCGGGGATCTTTCATTTTCAACCGATCAATAAGGGCTTATATTTATCAGGGCCTCCGAGCAGCTGCCACGTCTGACAACCTCCACTTCATTTTTGCACTCCTCCTCTGCTCTTTTCTCCTCCTCCTCCTCCTCCTCCTCCTCCTCTTCTTCTCTTCCTCCTCCTCCTCACCCTTGCACGCTAAATTGAGACCCATCGACCATGAAAAGGGGCAAAGACCCTGGATTGCCATTAACCCCCCTCGTGTCACTAGACTGTCTAACACACACACACACACACACACACACACACACACACACACACACACAAAAATGCCCTGGAGATACAATTCTGCTAAAGGTCTGCCCCCCACCCCCTCCTGCTTTAAAGAAACATGCCTTATCATTATGGCCTTGGCACAGACACCAGCACCTCTTCATGTCTTTTGTTTCTCAAGCTGCCCATGCCACCCAAGACACACACACTGTCTTTACAAACACACACACGCACTAACATGTAGACACACACTGCCCCGCACAACCTGATTTCACTTTTGATTTTGACCATTTTGTATGTCTCTTTGTTGCCAAATTCATTTCAAATAACAAAAATATCAAATCCCAAATTGCCACTATAAATCTGAGGAGCATTATGATAAGCGGAAGATTGGGTTTAGGGGTCTGAGTTAAAATAACTGGCTGTCTAATCATCTGCACAACAATATTTGCTGTGAGGCATTCTAAATAGATTATCGCTAGTCCATCTGTGTCATCATTGATTTATAAGGCATTAAGCTGCTTGGGGAAGAGAGAGGGCCTTGCCTTTTCTGCTGTTAAAGGGGCTTCTTGTTGAAATCAGGGGCACTGCAATGGAACAACTGTGGCACTCGTCTAACCTCCCCTTTAATCGTCAGACGAGAGGAAGTGAAAATAGGACGGGCGTATCTGGCTTTTTTTTTTTTCGAAAAGGGAAGTATGAATCCAAATTTTCTGCATCTCTTTTTGTTTGGCGATACAAAGAGAATGGGAGGAGGGGAGGAAGTACAGGAAAAAAAATACACACAGAGAGAAACAAATAGCACACATAAACACAAATGCACACACACACACACACACATGCAGAAAAAAAAACAAGGGACATCATTAACATATGAATGCCATATGCAAATGGTAGGGAGAGAGCAGATGTTGTTGCATTTAATTGACCTATATGTGAATTGCATCCAAACCTTTCAGTGTGTTTTCTGGGCCCACTGAGTACAGTTTTGACTGGCTTTCTAGTACCACTCAACATATGAGCAGGGAGCACAGCCATTTTAGCAGTGTTTAAACATAAAGAGAGAGATGACTAAAGATAGAATAAAACAGAAGAAAATAGAATTCTATGCAGGAAAAGTGTCTGCTGAAAAACTGGAAAAGTCATTGTTTATCCCTGTTTTTTCTTTTCTGTTATCCCTCACTGATGACATCTCTACCTAAATGGATTGTAATTTGCTCACTAACAGGTGTAGGTGGAAAGTAACTAAGTACATTTACTCAAATACTGTACTTGTGTATGCTTTACTACATTTATTTGATAGCTACTATACTTACTAGTTACTTTGGAGATTCATATTTTACCTAGATAAGATATCATTAGTGAAAAAATATATACATATTGTTATAGACTTAACTACCCAACAGTCTATAAAATAGCTAAAACTGTGAAAATTAAGCATGTTCACTTGCAACCTCTTTTCTAATCCATGTTATATTCTTAGATCTCATAGGAATTTGGTATCAGAGAACTATGTTCATCCAACACATCCTTATACCTGACTGGCTGAATAGGCCAATGAATCCCAAAACAACATATATGACCACTGGAGAGTATCAACAAATGTGCCCTGTACTATGACCTCCATAGTACAGGGCCTTGGTTGCAGTTTGGTTAGGTTAACACCAAAAACCACTGGGTTAGGTTTAAGAAAAGATCATATTTTGGATTAAAATTATTACGTTAATGTCCAATTTGAAATCAAAACATAACGTTACATAACAAAGAAATTGCACAGCATTGCACCATTGTACTTCTAATAAAAGTGCTTGTGTGACTTTAGTGTTTCAAAGGGTTAAACATACTAAAGTCACACAATAAGACAACAAACTAACTGACTGAGGCAGTGCTGCTCTGTGAGGCAAAATTAGTGTTTTTGTCAATGAAGTCTGGTGGCTGTGAACAGAGCAATATAAAGGGCAGTTGATACATACAGAAGTTTACTTTTAAACTTGCTGACTCTGAATTAAGTCTTTGGGTACCATACTTGTGCCCGCTATTGAGCCGCCTCCATGATATCCAGAAGAACTAGATAGATTCATAGATGCATTCAATATGGGCATTTTTCGACTTTGCAGACGTGTTCATTGATTATGTTGTATATTGGGGCTTCTATTGCCTTTAATCAATAGTGACAGCTGAAGAGTGACAGGAAAGTGAAAGAGAGAGAGAGAGAGAGAGAGAGTCAGAATCAAATCCATGGTTGCTGCAGCAAGGATTTAGCCTTGGTATATGGATGATAGCTTAGCTTTACCAGGTGAGCTACATGAGCATTTTGTTATGTAAAATTGGTGGCGAAGCAAATTTGCTGCAAATTTGTAAATATATGAACATACATTTTTGGAGACATTGTGGTTCACAATTAAAAATACTATATATATATTGTAAATGCATTATATGGTTATTGCTGAAGAAAATGACCATAAATAGTATCAAATGAGGTTTGATATCTTAAACACTTAAAGGTTAAGGATCTCTGACTTCTACTAGCAGTATAATGGAGTATTTACATTCTTGTAAGTAAAAAAAATGGAGTATTTCCTCCACAACTTATAACATCTTAGGCAAACTGCCAAGGGCCAGATGAAAGTGATTTTGAAAGTTTGCTCATACTTAGCCCTATCAAGCCCCCAAATACATTTTATTCTGCAGGTAGAGACAGACGTGAAGGGAAAGTCACGCATTTTACACTGCAATGTTTGCATGGGTGAGCCATGAAAAACACAGATGCTATTTTCATCTGGGCCTCTGCCTTTCTTTTTTTATTCTTCTCTTTCCCCCTTCCCTCCCTCTCTCTTTTATTCTCTCCTCTCTATCCCTCTATCCCCTCCTCCCCCCTTCACCCCCAATCTTGGGAATGTCATTAAATTGTATTAAATAGCCTTTTGTCCAGGGGGCAAGGACCACCCGATATATGATAATACATTAAGGCCCCAGTGTAGCAGCCACTGAGCCGAGACCATCTTAAGAACAAGCATGGTGTGTGCCATTGTGTGTGTGTGTGTGCGTGATTGTGCATGTGTGCTAAAAAAAGTGGATGGCAACACGGGGGAGAAAATAAGATGGAGAAAGGAGGATCAGACAAGTTGGGGTAGAGGGATAGAAAGAGTGAGATATAGAGAAAGCGAGGGGAAGGGAGGGAGAGAGCAAGGTGGTGTGGCTGCCTGCCTGCGCATGTGGCTCCCTAACAACTGTGACACATACTAATAGAAACATACCTAATAAATTACGAGCTTTCAGGGTCTGGCAAGCTGACATTTTCTCTGTGCACGGGACAATTTCATATCTGCGGCGCAAAGTCGAGGGGCTGCTGGACCAAATTGCATCACACAGAGATGCCAGAGGATTAGCATAAAAATTAACACTTAAATTTCAGCTTATTGTCAACCCCACTCCTGCACCGGCTGCCTCACAACAATCAATTCCTCTTAGAAATCTGATTAGATTCCATGACGCTTATTATCCCAGTCATGTCTGCCTGCCCCCTTCACTTCCACCACCACCACTATGCGCACACACACACACACACACACACACACACACACACACACACACACACATTGGCATAGTCAGAGCCCTGCCTGCCATGACTGCCCAGACCATTTGTTTAAATGGAATTAAGGAGAAAATAAATCTATAGGTGTGGCATTTCTTTTGACAGATGATGCCTCATTCTCTGTCTTTGTGTTTGACTTGTGATTTTGTGTCTTCAGCCTGCACGGACATCCTTCCCAACATGTTTATATTGTACCTTCGAAAGTCACGTTCATTTAAGCTCTCTCGAATGCTGTGCTGCAGTGATGGCCGGTGGTCAACCGCAAAATATGAGCGGTTATTATTCACCATGTTTCTTTTTTTTTTCAGTAAGAAGAATGAGCATTAAATTTAAGTATTTAGATTACGATCTCACTGATTTGCCTCAGTCTTATTTATAATGAAATGCCACCATGGTTTTATGACTCTCTTTATTCCCACCCCCCCCTCCAAAATGAACTTCAGCGCATCTCATCTATCCTCAAGTACACAGCCGTCACAAATGCTTTATGTTTACAGCAGAGAGCTGGAATGATGCAAAAGGAAAAAAAAATCTCGTTTTGAGATCTCATGAGGCTGTCGCAATGAAATATTTGTCAATAACGCTTTCTGTTGAAGCACATTGCACAAGTATGTACTAAAAGCACAGCGCACGTTGGGTGGCTTTGGTAAGACTCTTGATTGTTTAGACAAATGGCATTTCATCGCATCCAGATGTCTTTAAGCTGTGCTCAACCACCATCTCCGCTTTCCAAGGCGCAGGCTGAATGTATACAAATATCTCCTCATAACTGCATTCCTCATCTGGGCCTGC